TCAAGTATGCGATTACGAATAGATAGAAACAAATTAAGGTGACGATGATTGAAATGAGTCATCAATTTGGATTTCGAAGGTAAAAGAAGAAAAAGTTTCACTAATGGAGACCATGAATATATAATAAATTAATCCACTTATATAACTGTAGATGATCATATTTCCCCTTTAAACCAGCATTGCATTGTTGAAGTTGGAGAATCATCAACCGGTTCCACACGTGGTTCTTTTATTAATGTGGGTGACAACAAACATGGAAGCATAGAAGGATGCAGTTGAGGAGGTAAACTAAATTATAATAAAGCAACCGGATATTACTCACGTGGTTCTTTTATTAATGTGGGTGACAACAAACATGGAAGCATAGAAGGATGCAGTTGAGGAGGTAAACTAAATTATAATAAAGCAACCGGATATTACTAAAAATAACCGTTGAATAATCATATAGAGCCAGTTGGGTTTAGAAAAATATTTTTTTTGAAATTGAACAATTTACTTGGAATTACTGTTACGCTCTGAAACTACTCCTCAAACAGGAGTGGAAATTATGTAAAATAACCTCTGAATAAACATATATAGCCAGCTGGGTTTACAACAACAAAAAAGTTGAAATTGAACAGTTTACTTGGAATTTATGTTACGCTCTGAAACTACTCCACTGATATAACTGTAGATGATCATATTTCCCCATTAAACCAACATTGCATTGTTGAAGTTAGAGAATCATCAACCGGTTCCACACGTGGTTCTTTTATTAATGTGGGTGACAACGAACAGGGAATCATACAAGGATGCAGTGGAGGAGGTAAACTAAAGTATAATAAAGCAATCGGATATTACTAAAAATAACCTTTGAATAAACATATAGAGCTAGCTGGGTTTATAACAACAAAAAATTTAAAATAGAACAATTTACTTGGAATTTCTGTTACGCTCTGAAACTACTCCTTGAACAGGAATGGATAATATGTTGAATGAAGAAGCAAAGAGTGTGGTAATTGGACCAAATCGTGAAAATGCAAATAACATTGATCTCACAGTCGAAGAACAATGGTATGTTGCAGATAACTTATAGATGAAAAGTCTGTGGTGGGAGAGGGGGAGTTTAATTATGAATAAGTGGTTTATTTGTTATTAAATATATAAGTAAATGTACTTTGAATATGTAAATAGCCTAATAGTAAGCAGATATTAAAAGCATGAACATGAAATGTATTAAAACTTTGAGCTATTATAAAACTAACTATTTCAACAGAAGATGCAGGATATAGGACACATAATCCAGATAAGACACATAATCCGGATGTCATATATGTTGGAATGATCTTCAATAATAGGGAAGAGTTCAAACAACATATGGCAATGTATGCAATTAGGAATAAATTCTGATTTCGAAACACTCGATCGTCACCACGCGGAATGATCCTGAGATGTTTTGCTACATTGTGTTCGTGGCGGGTGTATGCAGTCATTCTGAAAATACAGAAATGTTTGAAGTAAGGACAACTGAACTCCATCATTCTTTTACCGTTGACGACCGTTCTGGATACCATTCACAAGCAACACATACGGTGATCGGAGGAATGATGAAGGCAAGGTTTCCCGGAGGGGGGGGGGGTGGGGTCCACGCCCAAATGATATACTGCAGTCAATGGAAGGGGATCACGTCGTTCAAATTTCATATTGGAAAGCATGGAGGTCTAGAGAAGTTGCTTTGGAGTACGCAAAGGGTTCTTGTGGAGCATCTTACAACCTTTTGCCATCGTACTTAAACAAACTGGTTACTTCAAATCCAGGAAGTATAACAGACGTTCATACGGAATATGCAGAGGGGTTTGGTCATCATTTCAAGTACATGTTCATGGCTTTATCCACAAACATTGAAGGATACCAATACATGAGAAAGGTTGTTATAGTGGATGGGACACACTTGCATGGTAAGTACGCCGGGTGTTTGCTTTCTGCGTTATCAAGTGTTCCCTTTGGCTGTTGCGGTGGTAGATGGAGAAAATGATAAAGTTTGGGAATGGTTTTCCCAAAAACTGAGACTGTTCATACCAGATAGCAATGAAGTAGTTTTCATTTCAGACTGACATCCATCTATATATTATGGAATCGCAAAGGTAAATATTGTTATTTTTATTACAATACCAAATCGGTTCATGCTAATAAAATATTTCTTTATTACATACGGTAAAATGGCTTAATAACCTTAACAACGAAATATATGGTGGGAGTGTTTATATCTGACTCATAACAAAAAGTAATTATTATCTCAGGTTTTTCCGAAAGGCAGACATTGCACATGTATCCTACAACTAAAGCGAAATGTGAGAACTTACTTTAAGGACAAGCATATGGGATACTTTGTTGGCAAAGCTGTACGTGCGTATAAACTTTCAGAATTCTACACTACATTCAACAAGATTAAGAGAGTCAAAGGATTTTGTGCTGACTACCTCATTGGTATAGGATTTGAACACTGGGCAAGATTGCATTTCCAGGGAAATCGATACAATATTATGACAAGTAATGTTGCGGAGACATGGAACACGGTTTTGCGTGAGGCCCACGAATATCCCATACTTTATCTCATACACTACATTCGTTCAAATCTTATGACCTGAGTTGCCACCAGACGCGAGATCGATTCGGAAGGCTCTGAATTTTCTACTCTTAGGGTTGACGAGATCATCACATCAAATTTTAAAAATAGTGGGATGTTTGGGGTGACCGTTATCAGAAATAGTGAGTATGAAGTGACAGACACCACGGGCGAAAGGTTCCATGTCAATCTGAATGATAAGTGTTGTACATGCCAAGAATTCCAATCTCTAATGATTCCTTGCACACACGCCATTGCCGCTGCAACGAGGTACAAGATCCGCGTAGATGCATTGGTAGACGACTGTTACAGTTTGGGAACATACAAGGCAGCATATGCGAGAAACATTTACCCGGTGGTGGAAGAAGAAAGGATTGACATTCTTTCCAGCGACAGTAGTAACGAGATAGAAGAAATAAATCCGCCAGCCAGCTGGAGACCGCCGGGTAGACCGAGAAAAAAACGGATATTATCAAGAGGAGAATTTCAGGTACTTTGATATACTTGTTGCATTTATATATACAAACCTGAATAATGATTTAAAGGGGACCTAGGAAGACTATATTATGCGGTCGATGCAAGCGTCCTAGACATAACAGGGCAACATGCAAAATGGCAATATAATCCACGGCATGTATAAATCGGAAAGACATAGGCTCGGATGATGAAGGTGTATGTAAGTTGGAGGATGAATGGATGTTTGATGTATAATGCATCCATGTTGTGGGATGTGGACGAATTATTAATATGCCCAAGTTTCTAATATAAATAAAATTTCTTTCCATTATCACAATCGTACATGCTCATATAGATACGACATTGAAGTACATCCGCGTGAGACCTAATATGGTTAATCACCAAAGCTGAATAATACCTAGAAAAAAATTTATAAACTGGTAAATTTAAATTTAAACGTGGTTAAAGTTATAACAAGAAAATGAAGTGTAAATAATAAACCTTGTAAATTTATTGGGAAACTTTAATAGATGAAGAATTAATAAGTGTATGCACCTTAATGTAACGAGGAAAACATTTTTGAACCAATTTAAAAATCAGGAAGAGTATAATTGGTATGTAAAATATTAATCCGGTTATACCGAAACCGAATTTGAGACAGATACAACACCGTTAAATATATTCCGTGGTTCAGAAATGACTTGTAATTAATTTGAGAACTAACGGTTTATAATGACCACTTATAAACCGGGAAAATACTATTAGGATACAATATTTATAGCATGTATATATATTCATTATCAAACCTAGACATAAATCCGACTGGGAGCGGGAGTTAACCGGTAGGCAGAAAAATAAACCGGTAATTATAAGGACACAACATTAATATCATCTATATGTATTCATTTTCAAACCAAGTAATAAATCCACCAGCCAGCCGGAGATAACCGGGTAGGCTTAGAAATATACTGGATATTATCAAGAGGAGAGTGTCATGTACTTTTCTAAACCTGTTGCATATATATCGACGAACCTGAGTAATGATTTAAACGTGAAAAATACAGACAATGGGACCAATGAAGACTAAAATATCTGGTTAATTTAATTTTAAACATGGTTATTAAACTAACAACATTAAAAATAAGTTGTAATAATAAACCTTGAAATAATATGCAAAAGTGTAATACATGAAATACTAATAAGTGTATGCAATGAATCTAGTAATTCTAAGTGACCAAATTGTACCCAGGAACAGAGTATCAAACCAAGCTTTAAATAAGGATGACTTTAACAGGTAGTAAAAATATTAATCCGGTTTAACAGAAACCGAATTTGACAACAAATAAAACATCGTTATACTTATTCAGTGGTGGGAAATTGAATTTTAATTAATTTGAGAACTTACGGTTTATAATGACCACATGAAAACTGGAAAATATATAATTATGAAGGTTATATATTACAAAGATATAATAAAAAATTTCTAACACGAGAAGGAGTAAGGTTATGTCCTCTTTTTTGATAGTGACCGATTAATGAGATACCAATTTTAAGGTAAATAATCGGTTTAAACATTTGTCAAAATGATCTCTAAATATTGATACCATAATTTGAATACGGTCGGTAGAAAGCCACGTTTTATGAAGCAACTATTACAGATATTTTACTTAGAGGAGAAAGCCACATTTTAAACATTTGTCAAAATGATCCCTAAATATTCATACCATAGTATGAATACGGCCGGTAGAAAGCCACGTTTTATGAAGCAACAATCTATATATATAAAGAAGAGTTTTCTCTCTTCTTATGGTGCCATGTCACTAATTACTCTTTTCCTAGCATGACATGTGTCCAGTTTTCGGTTAATTCCTTTTCTTTTGGTTCTATTTGGCTATCAAGGATTTTGGTTAATGGCCCGAAAGTCACACGTTTGGTCGTCAAAATTGTGACCTTTGACTTATAAGTTTCATGTTGTTCTTCAACCTCTGCTTCAATAAACGGAGATGGAGTTTCAGAAAAGTTATGAGAAACGAAAATTCACGGCTAATCGCTGGAGGGAGCTGTTGTTTGTGTCGTTTCGTCTCGATCAGACCAGGCGCTCTCTCTACTTTGTGGTTTTAGGAAAGCGATATCTTCTTCATTTCAAAACCCTAATCTCATCCCCGAGATCTATCTCTCTGTCACTCGAGTTTACTCCAACAACGGTACGTGAATACCCGCTTCTGGTCCTGTTTCCATAATCACCGTGGAGATTCTGAAACTTGCTTGGGTTTCTGTAGAGGAGGGGCCGGCTAAATCTCCAACAGAAAGCTCCTCCGGTGGAGACGAGGCGGATTCGCCAACCACCACGACGGAAATCATGTTTTAGAATAGGAAGTGGGTTAATGGTAATTGGAATCTGAAACAGTTTGAGAAATAATGCTAAACAGATTGGGATTCAGTAATAGTTGCTGGTTATATCCTCTAAAGCTCGAAATATTTATTTCAGTCCTACTTTCGTGTTCTGTAATTTGTAGTAGTGATTTGTTTCAAAATAACAACGTTTGAAACATAACAATATAAGTTTAAAAACAGATAATGTTGGTCAAGGCTATATAACTAGGGAGCTTCTTGATTTGGTTTTGTAATAAAGTATAGGAAGATGAGTGATTGTTTGTCAAATGTGTGCTATTGCGTTGCTTATAAAGGCAAAGAGGAGAAAGTGACTTGAAAATAACCCAGAAACAACTACTAACTACGAGCCATAGTGGGCATGGATGAGGCTATAGCATCTACCAGAAGCTGAACTCAATTAATGGTGATTTCCATATCGTGTGTACTTTGCAACTAAAAAAAATTTGAAGTTTGAAGTGTTTTAATTTGTTGTGGGTTTGTCTTGCAGGTTGTTCTGCAGCGATAGGGTTCTTCATGGCTTACCTCCTTTGTTCCTGTCATGAATCCAGATTTTTGGTAATGAAATCTAGAGATCCGTTTGAAAGTTGAAAACATGGTTCGAGCATGTTGTCCAAGAGATTGAATCTGAAATTAGCTGCAAATTGGAGCAGGTGAACTGGTTGCCTAGGTTTTTTACGCCCTTCCTCCAAAGGTTCATACATCAAGATCCAAGCCATATCAGCCAAGGCCCGGAATAATTTTGTTTTGCCGCAGGTTACAGACGAAATTATTTGCTAAAAAAGAAAGAATTTTGTAAGATCTCTTGACCAATATGACAAAGTAAAATGATTATCATATTGACTATTGAGTGTATGACAACGTAAACTTAGGATGCGGTTAGAATTTCTTTTATGTATATTACTCAAAAGTGTTAGGAAACTTATTAATTTGTTATGTTCATTCTTTTTTTTCTAAACACAGGATTCATAAATTGGAAAAAAATGGATGTCTACAAAGAAGCAGAAAACAGGGGAGCTCAAAACCAACATTAGTTTGGAGCACTCAGAAAACAACGAGAGACAAAACAACCAAAGCGCAGAGAAAAACCTTAAGATATTAGAAGATACCAAAACAAAAGGTGAAACAGGGAGGGGGATGTAAACTGGTCTAAAGGAAGACCATTAGAGACACCAGTTCAAAGCTTATGAAACTTATCACAAATTTGCTTCTCTGTTCAGTTGAGACAGAAGCCAGCTGGAACCACCCCTCGCAATGTAATAAGAGAATCTCTGGGTCCGTATAACACTTTCAGCTATTTCCAATGGTGGTCCATTTCGAGATTCTAGAACGTAAGACAATTATCTGCCAACATCATAGAGAAGGAAGAAGAGAGAGTATTCCTTCTGTTGTTCTCTGAAGCTCTGGAAACTTAGATGGGCACAGTAAAGCTTCAGAATAAGCAGATAATGTGACTGAAAAATGATATTTTGTGGATGCGTTGAACTCATACTCTCTCTACATCAAACATGAAACCCAACACTTCTGCTTCCAAACGAGTCTTCACCCTTGAGAATGTACGACGACGATGTAAATCCACAGCACAATTGTGATCCCGAAGCAACCAAGCCGCATCACTTCTTAAACGCTATCCCCACGTAGCATTTGAGAGACCCCCGAGAAGGTGGTGAACACATCGAAGAAGTAATCCTATTATGTACATTCCTTTAGTTCATGAAATATGTATTTATAGATTTTAAGTTATGCAACCAACCAAATATGTTTATGTATAACAAAATTTACAATCATATACAAATAGGTTTTAGGTTTTACGTTTTACGTTTTACGTTCCCTTTACAGAAGTAGCATAAACAAGACAGAAAATAATTTGATTGGATATGCTTGCACCAAGTAAGTCAAAAGATATATTATTTAGTCTGATACAAATATATTTAAATTCAGTAAAAATATAAATAAGATTAATTATTAAAGTTTACATTTTCAAAATTAATATTCAACTATTTATATGGAATATCAACCACCAACAAGAATGGAACGTGTTTTTCTACCAAATAACAATTACGACAGAAATATCTGATAACATATATAACCGAACAATAAACTATTAACACTGTGTTAGAGGTTACCCACCCCCATTCAAACCGTTTCATAATGGAATTTTTTTATCCCCGACATCAAAACTTAACATCAGCCTCTTAGCAAAAACAATATTTAACATCAACCTATTTATAAAATACAACTTCAGCGACAAAGAATGATAACAAATAAGAAAAAAGACAATCACGAAATCGAGTTAGTTAAACAATAAAATTTAAGAATACAAATTCCCGCACGAATAAGAACCAAGAATTAATAAGATATAAAGATAGATTAATTAAAATTTAATTATGCTATATAATATAATTTGAGTGTAATGAAAAGTTTTTTTCCTGTGTTTAATGAAAAGTTTAATAAATATTTAATAGTTAAGAATAATTAAACATATTCAAAATAAATAAAAAAACTTTACAAGCTTGGAATGACGAAAATTTTATTATTATATTGTTTTCCTTTACGTTCATCAAGCCTACAAAAAAATTCACACTAAATTTTCTTTCCATTTTAGGTAAATAAGATCAAATTTAGAATAATTCTCAAAAAAGATTCAAACAGTAAAAAATAAGTTATAAATAATCAAACAATATTTTACAAAAAAAATTGAAAGTAAAATAATAATACACAATAAATAAAGAAACAAAAATCGAAACGAGGCACAATACACAATAATTCTATGCAAAGCACATACTGAAAATCTATGACATACAAAATTTGGATATTAAATTTTTTGAAATTCGAAGACAAAAATAAATAAATAATTAAAAATAATTATATAATTGTCTAACTACTTATATTTTATTATAGATGATAATATTTATATATCAAAATAACATACAACATATATAATTAAAATATCAGCAAAAAACCCGGGCGTAGCCCGGACCGATCCTAGTTACATATATTTTTCTTAGAAGAGAAGATTTACGTTCAGATTTTATAGATAATGAAGAATTAATTTTTAAAAAAAAAATTATGTTGAATCAGTTTTTCATGTCAGACGGTGTAATGATGATGGTATAGGAGTAAGTAGCCAGCAGGCATTAATTGCATCGATATGGCAGATTCTCTGGTTTTAGTTTTGAACCAAAAGTCTTACCGGTTTGTATCTAATGTATTTTGCTATAAATAGGTACATCAACTTTCCTCAAAAGCAGCACATATCTGATATAACTATAAGTCTTTTTAATGCTATTTTTTGCAAATAAGGTAATTGTACATGTGGTCTCCACTATTCCCAAAACTCGTACTTTTTCTCTTATGGCTGATGGATCGTCTAGTTGTTATTTCAAAAGGAGAGTGATCTAAATCACAACAAGGTGTGTGGCGATTCGAAGATGATCTTACGGTAATGTCTCAATCCATTCTTCTGCGGAGTAGTGAAGAATATGCATCCCTAGAACTGAAAGTTCGTGGTCTCTTCAATCTCGGACGTGAAGTACCACTTGTTGTAACGTTCCAGCTCCCACAATGGATGGTTGAGACGTATGGTGAAGCAGTTCCCCCTCATACCCTTCGGACAAACGGGGACATTGACATGCTGCTCAGCGTCCACGAGTGGAACATAGAGCCAAAACTATGTATAGTGTTTGGTGTTCGAGAAGTTGCCAAGTACCACTACATATGCAGGAGTCCATTTACTATAGTTCGCCGGACCTATCTTGGAGAAGGTGTCACCGAAGAACAGCACCTTGCAACGATAAATGGTAAGAATTATCAAATCACAGTCTCTTAGTAGACAAAATTATATGAGTAAAGCTGGTAAAATACGTACTGATTGATATTTAAACTGAAGCTATAATGAGTGAGGGACGAATTACGTGAAGAAGTCATTAGTGAGTTTAATGACCCAGAAAAACTGATGCTTATGTATCGATTTTCCATGGAAGTTGAGAAAGCGAGAAACTCTCTAGACCTGAATGTTGACGTGGAGCCTAACATGGATGATCACATTGTCCTTAATGTGGACAATCCTTCCGTCGTGAACCAGCCGACAGCAGATGGCTATCAATTTAATGGGATGGGCGGGTTTAGTATGGTTGAAGAAAACGGTGAGATATGAATATTTAACTTATTAATGGTTCAGTTTTAGATTATCAGAATATATTTATATGCTTAATGAAATTTAACCTACCCAGATATATCATAAATGCAGTGGGAACTCCTCCTGTTACAGTGTTGAGAAATACTTATGCACCATCACCGTACGGCGGAGTTATGTTTGTATACGTTCCACATGATGAAACTCCTTACTGGGAGATGAGACACGGGTATAATGAAAGCTTAAATGGCTTCCCATTACACTTTACACCTAGGCAGGATTTATGGGGTTCCTGGCTCCGAATTTACTGGTTATCTACCCAACGATCTCAGCATAGTAAATTCGGATGACCAGCAAATCCCCCAACACCAAATTTCGCTCGATGTATCTTCCACCGCCTCATCAACTGAGCTCAACACCGGAGTTGAACTAAGATGTCCTATTACCAACTCTACAATCGGAACAGGATACAAATATGGTAATCTCATCTCTGAGAAACTTATATAAATTTCAGCAAGATAGGGACAGTTTGTATTACATTACATATAGTAGCCGAAACATATTCTTATAAATCTCTAATTGTAATTCTTATCCGGCTTTATATTTCTCAACTTAAACATGAATATATTTTTTTAAACATTATTCCATAGGTGAAAGCTCCAGACGGGTGATTGGAGAGGAAGACATAAAGGGTGAGGTGCAAGATATGACTGATATGACAAGTCAGGGTGCGCAGAGGAATGCAAATGATGTGGGTGATGGAACTCGTGGTGGTGAACATGGAGGCAAGTAATGTCATTACAATGTGATTGGTGAAGAAGACTAGTAAGAGTTATGTTTATATATAAGAACGGCAACGGAAGGAAGGGTGATCTTTTTGGAATGTTATGTTTCAGATCCTTGTTATCAAGTTATTATCAACTATGTTTGTAAGAAACAAATTTCATATTTTGGGTTGTTTGTAATATATGGTAGGTTGTGTTATTTAAGCATTTCATAGTATTAAGTGTTGCTGTAAGATCATAAATATTGTGTAATATTTAATGGTAGAAATAACTGATGTGAAATATTTTGTAAACTAAAATGCGCATAAATATGATTCCAGTAACTTAATATCGATTTTTACGGTTTAAATGTCTGTAGTAACTTGATTTTGAAACCAGTAACCGGTTTTACAGATCATCCTCTTAATCGTACAAACAAAAATAATAACATGACATATATTATTGCTTAGAAAAGTAATTAAAATATGATAAATTAACCATGGTTACTGGTGGTAAGATCACACTCATAACTATATAAAGATGAATAGTTAGCCTAGCCCATATAAATGACCATTAGGAAGCAGTAACATAAAATAGTTCATAACTGAAAATAAAATGACAATAGTTAAGTAAATCCTCAACACAACAAATGATAACACTTAATCCAATTTTGACATAGAACATAAGGTTTATAACCGACATAAATAACAGTCACCCTAGAGCATAGCATGGAACTCGTAGAGCATAACATCAGCTCTATGGGCTTCATCTGCGATAACTGAAGAAGTAATTCCAAGACAGGGGTCTGTCCCAGACAGGGAGTGTGTTTGCATGAGAAGATATGTAGTGATATCAGAATCACCAGGGTTTGTGTTCTGGGCCACGCCTTGTATCCTTTCTACAACCAGAGGAGTATCAACACCCGCAACCGATATGTCACATTGTTTAAGGAGAAAAGGAAACATCTCGGATAAAGGTAGTAGATGTTTACGAAGTGCAGAATCGATATTTATGCCTGCGTTGCAATCAAACACATTAAGTTTTAGTGCATTGAAATCCAAATATAAGCCTATCCAGTGTTTTTCCCCGGTGCAGAATGGGAGGTAGAAACGTGATGCAGGGTTGAGAGATTGACTACTATTCATCACAGCATCAACTAGACTCTTACTGGATAGAAAAGCAGCCTTATTTTTTTGCAGCTTGAATTTTGGATGGTTCTTACACAACAATGATGCGAACCGACTGTCAAGGAATGCTGCACTGACGTCTACTTTATTGGTAACTTGATTATCATAGGTAGATCGTACAAGCCTCATAAGAATATTCATTACCTGGAATTAATATATTTGGTGCCAAAAAATTTAAAATATATCAGATTCCTGTTAAAAGAGTAACTTGCCTTTCCAGGTAACAAATGATGTCTGTCCTTAATATCATCAAGGTCTTTCTGTGTTACCGAAAGTCCAGCCACGTTTATAACACTGGAATTAAGGAAGAAAATATATTGCAGAACCATATTATTAAACTTGTTATAATCTATACGGGACTTAGAAAAGAGGATGTTACCAAGCTTTCTAAATTATTGTGGACAGTCGAGCATACTTCTCCCGAATCACCGAGATCTCATAATAGTTACCCCCACAAAGTTGTCCCTCTCGGGCACGATTTAGTATGCCACTCCCACACTGGTAACCGGTTAGTAAATACGGCGGGACTATCCTCATATGCTTGCTTTTGCGAGAGAGGAGTGTATCATGATGCTTCTCCAGAGAAAGTTCAGTTTCATTATCTCCCATCTGATCGTCTTCATAAGGAGGTGGAGCGTCTTTATCCTGAGTCAGACCCAAAGAGAAGGAGGGTTGCTCAAACTGCAATTTATAAGATGTGGTGTTAGGAATTTAATGACAGGATGTAAGAACTTGAACCAAATTTTATACAGTAAAGAGTTTGCTAATCATACGTCTTATCTACAATGGTTGTGCATTTCCCTGTGTCCCGAAAGGATATTCATTTCATGTATACTGTCTTCGACATGAGCACTAGGGGACTCATAAGCGAGAGGGAGTTTTGAAGTGACATTTATAACCTTTACCTACATTGTGTATAAATACAGATGAGGTATATTTGTAGTATACTGTCTTCGACATGAGCACCAGGGGACTCATAAGTGAGAGGGAGTTTTGAAGTGACATTTATAACCTTTACCTACATTGTGTATAAATACAGATGAGGTATATTTGCAGTAATTCATAAAATAATAACTATTATATACTTACGGGACCAGACTGACGAGATGCTGAAGTCGCTTGGTTGTTGCCTTGAAGAAGAGATGAACCGGGATGAACCGTAGTTTGATCATTATGGGAGAGTGCTACTGTTCCCTTTCAAATAACGAAACTAGGATTTTAGAATCTCACCAAAATAAGGAAGATAAGTGACATATTTTGTGATGATTATATTTGGCATACATATTAGATAATGAATACTCTATACTTACATGACCAGAGTGATGGGATCCTGAAGTGACTTGATTGTTGCCTTAAAGAAGAGGTGATCCTGGAGGAAGAGTAGATTTATCATGATGGGAGAGTGCGTCCGATCCCTTTCAAATAAAGAAAGATAGATGTTAGAATACCTATAATATAAAAGCCAAGATATACAGGAAGTCAGATATATTTTTACTAAGCTTGTAAGATTATTGAACTATTGTCCAGATTGTAATATTATTAACTAGATATATACTAACGTTGCATCCATACTTTAATATCTTGACGTATTAGGGAAGAGTTTGCTTCTTGAGAAAGAGTGCCCAACACCTGAAATATCATTTATGATCAGTAAAAACCGGGTACAAAACTGTGGTTGATATATAACCGGTTACAGATATGTGATAGAGGATTAGATTCCTAATGTTTAAAATATTTGGACGATTCTTACAGGGACTTGGTTAGGAGATACAGAAGGAGTTGAGTAATGGCTGATATTTCTCAACACATCTTCGATTGAATTTTCATTAGAATCCTGACCTGGACTCATAGGTTGTTTGGAAGAACCTGGCTTGGAGACATTGACGGTAGAGGGACTGATATGGTGACCCTCTGAAGCTACATGAGCAGTACCCACCTCACCTGGACTGATATGGTGACACTCCGAAGCAACATGAGCAGTACCCAGCTCACCTCGTCCCGTTGGTTGTTTCGAAAAAACAAGCCGAGACATTGCCAGTAGATAGACTGATATGGTGACCCTGCGAAGCAACATCAGCATTACCGGCGGCAAGGGATAGAAGAATTTCAGATTTCATTTCCTGTATCCTTCCGGACACAGTGGATAGAACGTCATCTTTGTACTGGAGAGACGACAATGCTTACTCTTTCATTGAGGCAAGACCAGCAGAGACATTAACATCAATCCGTTTTAGCTCCGGTTTAAGAAGTGCATTCACAACTGAGGCAATTTTGTCTTCATCGGACACTACGCTCTGTGTCCACTACAAGAAAACATGTTTCTAACGACTACACTATTGGTTGTTAATTAGTCGTAATATGCCATTTACGACCAATTAACATCGAAAACCAATTGGTCGTTATTCGCTAGTCGTAATGCATAATTAGTCGTAACGTAGTCGTAACCTAGTCGTAATATTACGACTAATGCGTTAGTCGTAAAGTTGAGGTGACCCTCGTAGTCGTAAGGAGGATATATGTGTGTGCACTGTGGGCGTCTTCAGAACTCGACCACCAAACTTCTCTCAACCTTCCACCTAGACGTCCAACCTGACAGAATATGTCCGGAACGTCTTCAACAATATATGTCGGCACAACACCACCATCATCATACCTGCTCGTTGATCTTTTCCGAGTCCGCGCTTGTGATCCAAAGTAGTATGAAGTGAAATGAGATGTTTCCGCATTCAAACTTCCAGCAACTATTGAACCTTCCACTCTTGCATGATTTTTTGCTTTCCCTTTTAGATATTTCATGGCTCGCTCGTATGGATACATCCATCCATTATGAACAGGTCCACGAAGCAGTGCCTCATACGGAAGGTGGATAACAAGATGTTCCATGACGTAAAAAAAAGTCGGAGGAAATATTTTTTCCAAATTGCACATCAAGATCGGGATATTCTCATCAAGTTGTTTGATTACATCTACAGTTAAGGTGCGTGCGCTAAGATCTCTGAAAAAAGCTCCAATGCCTATGAATAATTATAATTTAGGTACAAGACAACATACATAAGAAACTTTAATATATATTATTTAATTAATTTGTTACCTGCAAGTGCTTCGTGAACATCTTTTGGAAGTAACTCTGCAAATGCAAATGGTAAAAGTCGTTGCATAAACACATGACAGTCATGACTCTTCATCCCTGCAAAATTTTGTCCTTGCTGATCCACACATTTTGATAGATTTGAAACATATCCATCTGAAAACTTCACATCAGATGCCACCCACTTGAACAACGACGCTTTTGCTGGTGCTGACAATCGGAAAATGGGAACTGGAATTTTCCCATCGTTTTGAATATGCAGCTCAACCCTAGAACATAATCCAGGCAAATCCAACCTTGAGTTCTTGTTTTCTTTTGTCTTCCAGGGACGTTCAACAAAGTATTGATGATGTTGTCAAAGAAATTCTTCTCTATATGCATCACATCATGATTGTGTCGCAGGAGTAGATCTTTCCAATATGGAAGTTCCCAAAATATACTCTTTTTGTACCAATTATGTTGTGTCCCATAACCGTCGGGCATATTTGCAGGAGTGTGCCAATTACCCCATCTGCTAACTGTGTCTAGTGCTCCATAGTAATCAATATCTTTCTCGATTTCTTCTCCAGTTAAATAGGGTGGAGCGGTGTCCCTTACAACCCTCTTTGACCGAAACAATTTCTTATTCCTTCGGTACGGATGATTAATGGGAAGAAATCTTCGATGACAATCAAACCAGGAAGTTTTCCTATCATTCTTCAGCTGAAATGCGTCTGTGCTTCCCATACAATAAGGACAAGATAGTCTACCATGC